AAAATGTTATGTTCTTTCTGTAGTGATGAAGTCATCCAAGCCCAAACCAATTGTGCAACCAAATGAACTAGAATCAGGTATATGATTGAAATCTTAAAGCCAGAATATAAAAAACTGAGACATGACTTTGAGAGCTATCAGAAATTTTATGTTCTTTCTGTAGTGATGAAGTTATCTAAACCCAAACCATATTTAAAACCAAGTGAACCACAATCAGGTATGATTGTAATCTTAAAACCAGAAACAGATCTGAAACCTTTAACGTAGGAGGTTCGGCGATTTTAAAAGGTTTTTTTTTAATTTTATGGAGTAGACTGATCAACTCCAAAAGCGGTGACAGCAGGGCCGTAGCGACGGGGGGTGTGTGGGGGGGCAACAATCCCCCCCCCCATAACATTGCCCATGAGCAATTTCAGATAGAGCAGTAGATTTTCAGGCCGGTTGCCATTGCAGTCGCTTTGCCCGCGCGGACGGAGCGGGCTTTGAAAATCTGCTCACGCGGGCGTGACGGGCGTCAAAAAAGATGAACGGGGACATGCCAAATACCCTTTCTGACGATCTGGAGACTACAAATTTCAAACATTTTCTCAATTTTTCTAGTCACATTAAACTGTAAGTAGCAATACATAACAATATTAAGATATTGAAATATTGGGTAGGAAGGACTCTAAAAATGATATTTCCGACGGTCTAGAGACTTCAAATTTTCAAAAAAAATTTCTCGGCGCCAACCATGGTTAAAAACGTTGAGTTGGAAAATTCAGGTAAATCTAACCTCCACCCCGCCCCCCCTCCCCCCAAAGGCGAAGTCTTGACAACGGCCCTGGGTGACAGAATATCTCTTTTGGAGTTGATTAAGCTCCTTGAAATGTACAGTGTTGCCAATGGATGATTCCAACTGTAGAGGAATTTTTTTATCAAGGCAAGAAGCACGAAATCCATTACCACAGCTGGAAAGAGCATGTTAAAAAGAGTAAAATTGCAAAGTTTGGTTGCGAATTGTTGTAAAATGAGGAAAATATAGCCCTGTGAAGTTCGCAAATATTGTATATATTTGCATTACGCTGAAAGTGGTTATTTTTACCGCGCGTAATACAAATATATCCAAAATTTGCGAACTTCACAGGGCTATATTTTCTTCATTTTACAACATTTCGCAACCAATCTTTGCAGTTTTACTCATTCTAAGATGCTCTTTCTAGCTGTGGTGTTGGATTTCATTCTTCTTGCCTTGATCAAAATTTAATCAAAAGCTGGAATCACCCATTAATTGTTAACCGTGTTTAATATTCTTCAACCAGATCCAGGATCTGACCACGTATCTCGGCATGTCGCTGAAAAGCCACCGCTTCCCACTGATGCGATTTTGAGTGGAAACAGCAATACGAAGTACTTGACAGGTAATCTCAAACGGTCGATCCATAGGAGTACGAGACAGGGGGCAAGGGGGCAACTGCCTCCCC